CTCTTGGAATCACGTTAATTGATATTTGATGAAATCGAGTTGATGTTTCCCTCTCCCTTTCTATCATCACTAAACATACGTCCACAAACACCAGAAATCACAACAGGCAGAAAGTAGATCAAAATTTAAGATTGGTGAATATGAGTAGTTAAATGTTGACAAATGTTCTATGTGATTGTAAAATCAATATCATCAACAACCATTTTGTAGTGTCTGGAGCAAATTTGTAGTAGTTTAGGCGTCCATACAAAACTGATGATTATAGTGCTAAATTTGGAGGGATCAGTAGCTTTAAGAGGTAATATATTGTCCATAGTGAAAATTAGTTGGTGCAATCGAAAATTGACGTAATTATCTCAAAGCAATTTGTACTGTTAAATGGGTGGAGGTGGAAGACAGAAAGCCCTGAACCTAGGATTGGTTGTGTTTGGTACTAGTCAGCAGCAGGTCTATGTAATATAAAGGGAGCAGATGCTCTATACTGAATTCGAACTTGGATCATCCAGTTTTACTACCTTAAACGTTACTATTGAACTATTCGCGAAACAACTGACCTTCGGTAGAACTGTGATATCTCCAATTGATATATCACTGAACGATAAGTAATGTCATGTTTATCTAGTCTTTTAGTATTGACTAAATGCTATCAATTAGACTGTAGCATAACCACTGGTCTAAGCGAATCGATATTGTGGGTATTTAGTTGATACTATCAGACAAATAATTTTTCTGATTTACACAAGATTTATCTATGGCTTTACCTCTTATTATTGATCTCACTGTTGTCGGTCGACGGAATAGGTCATACGGTAATAGTTGTGTGAACACATACATCGAATGAACTAAATCATTAGTTCATATGAAATTGAATGTGAAATGTACCTGAATATTCTAATTTGTGCAGAAAATAATCTTCATATTTTAACATTTTGGTGATGATAATTGGGTAGACGTTTAGATCTGTAATGATGTCAGTATGAGCAAACATCTAAGTCAGTTTTATGAATGATAACTGTATCAGGTTGATTGATAAATTTATAAATCGTACGTCGACAGCTGAACACAATCAGTAAAACCGCAACTTTTCCTTCTTTTTTAAAATTTGTCTACAATCAACCATAGTATTAGGATTTTCCAAAGAGGTGAACTAAACATTGGTCTTCTCCTAGTTTATTCAGTCACCATATCATATGTATCATAGGACCTAGCACATATGTTACAAGTTTGTATACTACATTAGTAAAGTAAGAGGAATCCCAGAGTAGTAGAAGTGTCAATAGCAGTAGTGAAAAAATATTAAGTATAAACAGTATGATTTTGAAAGAGAGAATGAATTTGTGAAGTTAAAGAATAAGCATAAGATTATTTTAAATTCGAGATCTAAGGGATGGCTTAGAGTGAATTTATCCAATCCATTCCAGTTAAGTGAGTCATATCACTGATTACAATTAATGCGTATACCTTAACCAGGTTGTCTACATCTATCAACCTAGCTCACTTCAACAGTCAATGACTTCATGGATTGATTCTTCGAACCTATTCTTACATTACTCAAAATCTCATGTCAATTTAGGCAATGTAGGAATACGTAATACCTATCCTACCTCAATCAGTAAAAGATTGACAATTCATGAAGTAATTTGTTTTATACAATAAGTTTGTTTTTTATCTTCATGTGTACAAAAGTATGAAAACATTTTACTTATGCTCAAATAAATATCTGTGAATAGTCAAGATTTAACCATATAATTTATTTTGGGAAAAAATCCGTATTTGAGAACTTCCAATAATTTAGTCAAGCTAACCTTAAGTTAGCAACTGGTTTTTGAACTCAACGTGTTTTTGAACTCGTAACAAAAGTTTGTTAATATAGGATTTTGTAATTTAACACCTATGACCTTTACGTGATGAATTCGATTACAACAGGTCAAATAAATAAGTTGAATCTGAATGTATAACTTCAATTATTGATTATAGCATAATAATACCTGAACTTAACGAATAATATATTGAAATATATTCCAATAAGAGCTTACTGTAAATTTAACAAATTAAAAGCTGATGTAATCAAATATGATGGACTGATCATGACCCGTAAAGGAGAGTTTATTTAACAATATATGTGCTAAAATTATAAGTTTGTGCGAAAACTGGGAATTTTTAAGATTTAAACCATGAAGTGACGTTAGTTAGATAAACATTAAAAACCTAGAAATATCAAACAACCATCTCATCCTAGTACGAGACTCAGCAGTGTTTTTCCGCTACCCTGAATGTGAGAATCAAATGTTGGGCCATCAGATGAGCTCAACCTCTAGATCATTGAGTTGGTATCCAACTGTACTATTGTCTAACATCAATCAATTCACATTATTGCACAACCCTCATCCATTTGTTTAGGCAGAAAACTATCTCACACTTAGCATGGTTCAACTACGAAGGTCCTGCAATAAATATTCAGATGTGGGGTTGTAGATGAGCACCATTGTGAACACCAATACTAAGACGAAACGGTCATACAGAGTCGACCAGTTCGTTAAGCAAACTTCGAAAATTCTGCAATCTCCATAAAACCCTTTACTGATAAATATCATAAACACAAAAGTATATCTACCAATTACCAATCGAAGATTTATTATAACTTCCCAAACGTAGGTTCAACTTCAAGCTGATTTGGTGACAAATCAGAGGTTTTAAACGAAAATTAGTTGTTCTTAAATTTGTAATAGCTGCACTAAAAAGTTAATATATCGATGTGTAACGTTTAGCTATTGACGTGGTTGAGTTTAACTTGCAGATATGTTGTTGTAAGAATGTGAATAAGTTAGTTTTCAAGTGCGAAAAAAAGAAGAGAAAGCATGGATCAAAAATTAAACAAGCACATTAAGTGAACGTATTTCTACTATTGAAGTCAGTCAACAACAATTAGCAATACACAGTAGTACATTAAATATAATCTGATGCCAAAATGAAAAAAAAAAATCGACAGTAAAGTTTACAATGATCCACTAACTTCCTTTTAAGTACTTCGATCCATGTGAAATTTACTGAGACTGAGTGCCGTGTGTAAGGCTGGCTTGTACGTAACATACAGTATTATAAATTCAACTCTGATAGTGACGTAGCTGAAATCTAGTTACATTGTTTTGTCTTGAAATTTTATTTTAGATTAGCTGATACTTTTAAGACAACGAAGTTGTACTTAATGCTGTACAGAGTTATGTAAATTAATTACTTCGTAAGTCATCAGTAATATAAAATGTATGCAAGTTTTACAATCTAAGGTGTTGAAAGTGAAAGAAATGAATATTTTGTGAGTATTCAATCGAATATAACACTTTTAGTGTCATTACAAATTAAGCTGTTAGTCTTTTGTTCCCATTTATTTAATGAAACTATGATTTTATGTAATCCTAATAACATTTGAATGATTTACTTGATAGTGAATTCATTTAAAATGTATTTAGATAGAGGAAACCAGTTGGTAAGTCACATTTTAACTCAATATAGAACATACATATTTTATCTGTAAGTGGATTACTTAATTCAGTAATTAATTTTTTTTAAATCTCTTCTATAGTTAAGCTCATATTATTAGTTTTGACTACAAACCATATCTTTATATGTGAAAGGTTAACAAGCATATCAGAACACTTAATCTAAAATAATTGACAACAGTGTTGAAGTCTTTTACTCAGTACTTAACAGGCTTATGATTTAACCAGTATGTCTTATTATTATTATTTATTCAGTTCTATTAATTAAAAATTGAATAAAATGAGTTTACAATTAATGACCAGTATATCAAATCTGGTTTTTTTATACCCAAACCTTCTGTCAATCAAATGACAAATAAATAAATAAAAGCTATTCAACAATATGATTTTACTATGAAATAATAAAGTTTGAGTAATATAAATTAATTATGAATAGAAAATCCAATGACCTTTGAGTTGTGTATTCGAACTGAGGAAGACTGAAAAGCTTATTACTTTTCGAGTTCGATCTAATGTGATCATTAGACATTCAGGTTTGTTTTTTAAAAGAGAGAAATGATAAATAAAGCAATCAGCTATATATAAAAATTTTAAATCAATGAAAGCATTGGATTCATTAAGTGCTAAAATCTTTATACTCCTGATAATTGTTTATCTCACTGGTTGAAATCATGAGTCAGTTGAAGCTAGACCACCATTGAAAACCTGGAAGCACTGGACGGCCGTTTCGTCCTAATATGGGACTCCTCAGCAGTTCGCATCCACGAACCCGTACCCCGCGGGATTCGAACCCAGGACCTACTGGCTCCGTGCGCGAGCACTTAACCATTAGACCACTGAGCCGGCATCCAACGGTGTTAATGTCTAACTTCAACCAATCCACGAAGTTGCGCCATCGAACACCATTGTCTTCAGTGAGCTGATATCTCACAACAGACCTGGTTGAACTCCACTGGTGACGGCTTTTCACTAGAACTCCAGGAGGTGGAGTTCAACCAGGTCTGTTGTGAGATATCAGCTCACTGAAGACAATGGTGTTCGATGGCGCAACTTCGTGGATTGGTTGAAGTTAGACATTAACACCGTTGGATGCCGGCTCAGTGGTCTAATGGTTAAGTGCTCGCGCACGGAGCCAGTAGGTCCTGGGTTCGAATCCCGCGGGGTACGGGTTCGTGGATGCGAACTGCTGAGGAGTCCCATATTAGGACGAAACGGCCGTCCAGTGCTTCCAGGTTTTCAATGGTGGTCTAGTTTCAACTGACTCATGATTTCAACCACTGAAATTTCCTAAAATCTTCACAAAACTCATTCTTATAATTGTTTATCTATCAATTTTCATTACGAAATGTTATTGTATTTAAATTTAACCATGATCATTACAATCTATACGTAACACTTGTACTCTAAAACAAAATCATCTGATTGATTCATATAAGTCAATGAATTTGAAGCTGTTTTATTTATTCTTTACAGATCACAATTTGAACTACAAACTTAATTCTGTATATTCAACTACAAATTAATTAATTCAAGAAGAAAAAATGATTTGGAGATTATTTTCAATTAAAGCTTTTGTATTTTGGACTATACTACTTATAAGGGAGGTTCTTCTCTCTGGTAAGTAACACTATATTTATATATGTAAAGCATTTATTATTATCCGAAGTATATTTCTTGATACCATTTACAAACATGATCTTTGTTAAATGACAATTTTGCCCAGTGTTTCTGGGAATCGGCAGATAATTCATTCATAAATATAAAAATTTTGCTTTTTTAACCATACTATTACACATTGGTCATAGAATGTTCGATTGCGGTTTCTTTATCTTTCTTCCCTAGTAACATCTACCAACTAAATATTAAAGAAAGTATTTACTGACCTTCTTAGCATTTCAGCTAAGCAGTTATATTAAATTAGATTTAATGCAAAAGATTGATAGTCACAGTCAAAACACTAGCCTCTGTTTAACTACCGTCGTTTGAAATGATTCTGAGTGTAATACAGAATAATGCGAGTTTAAAGTTCACTGGGACCATCATTTGCCAGTATATTACATATGCACTTTATTCAAAAGTGCCACCAAGCATTAAATTCTGATACGAAGCTTTCTCGCCATTCTCCACATTTACTTAACATCAACAGCGTAGACTAGTTACCATATTCCAACGGAATTCGATCAGCACTATGAACTGAACAATAGGACATTGATTGTTACTCGCTTATCAATTAATGTTGTATGAGTAGCAATATAATTAGTGGGATGTTTAGAAATATTTAATACTTGATTTCATGTCATGTTAATATAACTGAAAACCTTTTTAATTCTAATGGTTACATAAAGTGTAAAGTTAATTTCAAAATATATTTATTTGTTCACAAAATTTAGCTACAAAATACTGAATTGTTCATAAAGACATCAGCTTAATTCTTGGTTGCCTTCAATTTAATAAAAAAAACCGAAGAATCAATTAATAATTCTTGATTATACTCGTATAGTATTTCCTGAATACTTTTTTTAATTTAACACCGTTGAATACCAGCTCAGTGATCCAGCGGTTAAATGTTCGCGTGCGAGAGCGAAAGTCCTGGATTGAAATCCCGCGAGTGTAATCGTGGATGAGCATTGGTCGGAAGTCCCACAATAGGACGAAACAGCCGTCCACTACTTCCAGGTTTTCAATGTTGGTCTAACTTCAATCGATTCATGATCTCAATCAAAAACTTAATAATCTTCACAACCCTATATTGATAATTTAACAATATTAAAACAAATGGAGCATCATATTCGAAATAAGTTTGTTCTATATAAAATTAGTTTTATATCTGACAAGCATAGATACTCTTTTCACCTATTTATCTACCTTTAACTAACCTGTTTCTCTTTTAATGCAAATCTCTCTCTCTATATATATATGTAATGAAAATAAAGTAGATAGTCCTTTTTGCCATGAATTTCACTTTTACACATCAAGATTTTGTAAATATGTATTTTTTTATTGTGGATATATCAAAACATTCACTGATTTAAAATACGGTAATTGTGCAGTTAGAAAAAATTAATATTAGACTTGATTGCGCATAGAAATATATTTTTTTAAATAAACTGTCGCTTGACACATTTCAATGTTAGAAAACAAAATATTCAATCCTAGACAATTTTGGTAAGTGTCATCTTTTCACCTGACCTCATAGAGAATAATAACTACCTACAGTAAAATCGTTATATATATATATACTTTTATTATTGTTAGTATTTTATTTTTACAGTCTACAAATAAACATGAAAATCTAGGCAGAATCTTGTGAAGCAACTATTTGTTTGTTTGTTTTTTCAGAGGGAATATATTCTGATCCACCCTAAAGTAAAACTACTTTCCACCTGTATATTACTTGAATATATCCGATATAAAAAATTTTTTAAAAAAGAAGGTAAATATAATAACACTACCTATCAACTTGTCACTCCTAATCTCGAGTATCAGGCACCCTACTGTTATTGTCGTATTATAAATGCATCATCTATACACAGATAAATGCTTATATATTCACATATTTGTCAGAATAACCATATACTAAAATATAATGGTTATAAATAGATGATTACTTAAAGTCACGTGTTTGTAGCTAAGGTGAATTTTCCCTTGTCATTGTCTGATAACAGCAAATACATCAGTATCACTAGTAACTAAACAACAACAAAAAAAGGAATAGAAAAATGAAATACTGGATTTTATTAATTTTAACAAACGCCATTTCAGGGAGTAAAAAAATAAACAATACTGACTAACAGTCAACCATATAAATAAATAAATAAAAAGTTCAAATTTCACAGATTGACTAAAAGTTTACACTTCGAGTTATTATTATTATTTGTACACAGATACTATTTAATAAACTGCATTTTAGTTGATAAAAATAAACAGTTAAAATGATGGATAATTTACTACTTTCTTATTTGATAAGTAGTTTTCAAAATGGTTGAGACTATTGTTCCCGTAAATGCATTATTTGTTATCAATATAATTAAAAATGATGAACATTTTGCATAATTCAAAAATAGATGGATAGTGGCTAGCAGTGGAATCCAGGACGCGCGTTTCGTCCTACTTGGTACTCGTCAGCTAGATATACATGGTATATCGAGGTAATCCGCACAGGATGCACATATGCCAACAAGAAACTGATCAATTACAGTCCCAATCAACAATGGGAAGATAAAAGTAAAACAACATCAAGTGAATTTTGCATAATTCATTATTATTTAGATTATCTAAAATCATAAAAGATCCATAATATTATGTCAAACATTTTAAGGAAATTCATTTTACGTTCGTATTTTTGATAACATGTGAATAAGTTGATAATGAACAATAATGGAACACTTTTTGTAAACGAAATGCAATAAGAAAATTATTTGAAGCGATTTCTGTAGGAGCAAACCAAGTGTTGTCGTCAACAAACGACATGGATATCTATTTTCAGTTATGAGTTTTTAATATGTTAGTAGTACTGATATTGATATTAGTAGTATTATAATAAGTTAATACATATTTTTTTAATTACCAGCTTACTTGTTCGCAAACTATGCTTCATATAAACTAATATGAAAACAATAATCATCCCTAAAAAATCCATAGAATTTCTTGTAGTGAAAATCAAATCCAATAAATTTATACCAGTTACAGATTTTCAAAAGTATGACCCGTAAAGAAGTCAGAATTTGATTAACTTAATATTCATATTAACCTTGAGTTTTATGTAGGAAAGTTATTCACCTAACTTGACTCGTCAGTACAGGGTTGTGAAGGTTGTTGTGTTTTAATTAAGATCATGAACCGACTTATGTTAAACCACCAATGGAAACCTAGAAGCACTCTACGGTTGTTTCGTCACAGTATGGAACTCAGCAGTGCTCATACACGATCGCGCACGCAAGATTCAAGCCCAGGTCCTTCGGTCTCACACGCAAACGCTTAAATTCAATACCAATGATTCGGAATCAGACTAATCCACAGTACTGCGCGACCAGCTTTCATTGTCTTTGGTGTGTGTAACTGCTTCAAACATGACACGATTAAACTCCAAACCGAAGGTCCTAATCTCGAATCCCGCACGCAGGATCATGGATGCACACTGCTAATGAGCTCCATACTATTATGAAATGGCCGTCCAATGCTTTCAGGTTTTCTATGGTCATTTAACATTAACTTATATTAGAAGAAAACCCTTGTCTGACACTAAAATTGTAACGAGATCCAATTATAAAATGGATACATTTCAGATATGATAGAAATTTGTTGATTGGTAATCAATAAAAAATCAATGATTCTACTTTGCAAGCTTTCAGATATACTTACATCCTCAAAAAGACACTTATTGTTTATGAGGAATCAATTCATAACATCAATTACTAATAATACATATATAACAACTAAGATGCTCGAAATGCCTATTTTTCAAGATAGTAAACTTATAATAAATGTATAAGTTATTTTCAATTGGCACCTACTATGACTAATATCTAAATATATTTATGAAATTATTTTTAGTTATTTTATTTTATTTATTTATTTATTTTAACACATAGACATTGGTACAAGGAGGCACCAAATACATATGCGCCACACCGATCTCACTTGATATGTGTGAGGGCTGTGGTTCTCTTACATGGCCACACTCGGAGCCTTTGACCTGAAGGTCTGATGCACAAGGCAGTGGAGCAACGTAAGGAGATGCAGCCCCATGGTAGCCGGTGACCAACGATTGGTTTCTATGCCATTTGTGGTTTCAGGATACTGGAGCCCATGTGTATCATTGGTTTGGAGTGAGGGTTTTCCAATTCCCCTAGGTGGACTCTCCATGTCCACCAACCCGGTTAGAGCGCTGGACATTCGCTTTTCATCCTCTATATATGCGTGGCCATGTGAGAGCACTTCGAGGGGGAGAGCGGACTCTCCCCACTCTCAGCGAAATAGACACTGATATAAAACATATTTAAAATTATCTTCAAATTATATATTTACAGTTGAACACCCCAGTAAACATTAATTAGTATAGATAATAAGCGATAAAATCTTTCACATAAGAATATGATACTTGAAATATAAATAGTCAAGTGTAATTCAAAATTTTTGATGATGTGCTCAATAAAATTGCTCTTTTTTCACTTTTTGTTTCCATTTCATGAATTTCATCTCTACATTTCATCTCCATTTTAATCAGCAATAAAAAAATAGAGAAATATAATACATTTCCCGATATAAATAAAAAATAGTCGAAAAAGAAATACAATCAATTGTTCCATTTCATGGGAATTAAAACTTAGCCAAAATAATTCCCAAATTGTTCACTGTTAATTTACTTCAATCTGTTACCCCCTCTTGGTTTATAGACCCCCGATCAAAGATGATTATAAACTTATTGAAATATTTGTTGATTCTGACACTTAATTCATTATTGCTCTTTTATGGTTTATTTTGAAATCATTAATCACATTAATGTATTTACGAATCTATTCCCTTACTCAATCACAAGCGTATACATATATACACACTTATATAGAAGTGTATATATATATATATATATATATTGGTAGATCAAATGTAACATTGCG